TGTAGTAGAACAAGTAAGAGATAACGGGATATGGACCAGACATAATTCCTGTCCTCAAAGAGCTCAGACAAGCAGACATACTTATCAACTAGAGTAGGTCTACAGTAGCAAGTTCCAATATCAACACCCAAGCAGGAAGCTACTTGGAAAAGTATGAGAGATTTATTTTAATTGAGGATGAGGAGAAAGTATGAAACATTTTAGGAAGTCATATCTCCTCTATCTTATCCAACAACTACTTTTAAAAATAAGGAAATTGAGGCACAGTGAAGAGTTGCTACTTGTCCATGGTCACAGATTCTGTTTACAGAAGCGAAGTTAGATGCCCTGCTTCTGCCTTCCACGCTCCACTCTAGCTTGGCCAGTACAAGCCTACAAAGCCAGTGTAGGCACGAAACAGAATCAGGATATTGTTGGAATCAGTGTTTATGACTTTGGCATTTCCAGACTAGTGCTAAATATGTATAATAAAGAATAAAAAAGAACTAAGAACTCGAACTCAGACTCTATTCAGGTACCCAGACCTTTTTCTGCTTTAATTTTAGCTCTTGGCATCTCAGAGTGGTAAGAGTTCTTAGAAACTAAGCTAATGCATTTAGACAAGGGGGAAAAAATTAGAAGCAGAAAAAGTGAAAAATAAGAGATAAAATTTCTATGTGCAGGTAATAAGATTACAAACCTGGAAAATATTGTTACCTTTATTTACTCCATGTTCCCTGACATCCTCACTTCTTCAGTCTTCCTCAAATATGCCAAGTGCATGTGACTTTTGCACTTATTTTTCCTTCTTCCTGGAATTCTCTTTCCACCTTATATCCTCAAAACTAACTCTCTGATTCCAATCAAGTTTCTGTGTTTTTTGTTTTTTTTTTTCAGAACCCCTATTATGTTACGTTCCCTTACTGTGCTTTATTTGTCTCCATGGCATAAGTACCTCCTGACAAACTGTATGTTTATTAATGGATTTATTTTCCTTCTCTTTAGAGTGTAAACTCTTGTAGATTAGGAGTTTCCTGCTGTGTTCATTGCTATATCCCCAGTGCCCAGAACACTCCCTAATACATACAATACTGTCAGACACATAGTAGGCACTCAGTGATTATTTATAAACAGCAAATGGAAATCTAAGAAAATTAAAAGAGTAATTTATAAATAATAATAGAATTAGTAAATTATCTGGGTAAAAATTTAACATTAAAACAAGAGCTTTTGTATTTGTACAAAACTACCAGTTAGAAGATTTAATGGAAGAAAGCATCACATACTTTATAAACTGCCTTGAAATCAAAAGAAATGTTCAGAGTTGATGTGGAAAAAAACAAACAAAAGAACTTTAAAACTTCCTGCTGTAATCCCCCACAAAAAAAATCAATAAGTGGATAGTTAAAATATATTATCAGATTTGATTGGATTAGATTGGGCTGGAAGATTTAGAGCCATAAAAAGCAATTCTTCCTACATTAGTATGAAAATCTAATATAATTATATCACAAATGTTGAGAATATTGACAGAAATTTGAGGAGCAAAAAAACCTAAACAATTATAAAGATTGTACAGAAAAAGATGCAAGAAAATACAGGATAATTTAGGGAAAGAAGCGTAATAAGCCTTCCACATATTAAAATACTTTATTAACTTAACATAATCAAAACTATAGTCCTGATGCATAGAAAAACAATTAGAGCAGACTAACAGGCCAAATATAAACCCAAATACATGCAAAAAATTATATGGTAAAGATGGCTTTTCAGTGGAAAAAAAGATGTGCACAATTTAATAAGTAGTGTCAGAAAATGAAGTTTAATTCTTACCTTACATCCTACACCCTGTAAATTAAAACTGGGAGGAAATATTTATATAGGAAAATAAAAGTAATAGAGGAAAAAAGGAAAAATTTGGCCCAGAGACCACAAGAGAAAATATTGATAAATCTGTGTAAAAAAATACCATTTAAAAATTCCTGCATGGCAAAAAGTACCCGTAAAGTAAAAAAAAACAATGACAAATTGTGCAAAAATATTTTTGTACAGCACACTAAGGCTAATTTCCCTAACACCTAGTTTCTATAAATCAATAAGAAATAAAGCCCAACAATTCAGTTTTTAAAACAAAGGAAATGAACAGACGACTCATAGAAAAGAAAATGCTAATAGTTCTTAAACACATGGAAGGCTACCTAACATATAATAAAAGGTAATTTTACTTTTTAAGAGAAATTCAGATTAAAACTAACCCTTGATGTCATTTTTCACCCATCAAATTGGCAAATTTTAAAAAATTTAATTTCACCCATCTTATCAAGGTAATTGACAATCAGACATTATAATACATTGGTAGGAGTGCAAATTGATCCTCCCAAGGAGGTTAATCTGTCAATATTTATCAAATTGCAAAAGAGCAGAGGACCCAGAAAGTCTTTTCTAGGAATTTATCCTACATATAATTGTATTTGTGTGAAATAGTATATATGAAAGTCAATCACTAAGACATTTATAATAGGAAAAGATTGGAAATAAATGTTCATCAAAAGGAGACTTGTGAAATAATTATATATGGTTGTTAAAAAGAATATATGGTTGTTATGTACTTAGAAAAAATACCCCCACGACATATTAAGAGAGAAAAAAGCAGCTTAGAATGGTGCGCTTGTTGTGTGTGTGTGTGTGTGTGTGTGTGTGTGTGTGTGTGTGTGTGTTGGGAGGCAGGAGAAGGAATACTCTTGCTTGGGTTTAAACCATCTCTGGAATGACGCTCAAGAGTCTGGTAACATGAGCTGCTTCTAGGGAGTGAAACTGGGTGTTTGCAGGACAGCAGTAGAAATGAGATTTTTCACTGTAAATACTTTTATATATATATATATATATATATAAAAGTAAAATATATATATATTTTACTTTTATATATATAAAAGTAAAAATATATATAAAAGTAAAAATATATATAAAATATATTTTATATATATAAAATATAAATATATAAAATATATATATTTTTATATATATTTTATATATATATTTTATATATATTTATATATATTATATATATTTTATATATATTATATTTTATATATATTATATATATTTTATATATTATATATAATATATATTATATATTATATATATTATATATTATATATTATATATATATTTTATATATATATTATATATATATTTTATATATGTATAAAAGTAAAAATATATATAAGTAAAAATATATATAAAAGTAAAATATATATATATACACACACATATATATATATATGTGTGTGTGTGTATATATATATATATTTTACTTTTGAACCATGTAAATCAATCGATATAATTTGCCTCCTGGTCATTTAAACCCCATTAGATGCCAGGTGTCAGGATGGGGCGGTGGAAGCCACTTCAGGATCGTTATTGGAAGAGCCAGGTTCTAGTTCTTGCTCTGGCACCAATTCACTAGTGGCCCAGCAGCGAGCAGCCTCTCCGCTCAGGGCTGACCCAAGAAAGGTCAGAGAAGCTGGTGTCCGAGGCCCTCTCTAGCTCTGACATCCCGAGATGTGAAGTGTAGTTTTTCCTCCTACATTTCTTAGTCATCTCTCTACCTCCTCCTTCCCTCTGCAGCTCATCCAAAGCTCAGAGGAAAGGACAAGCAATTGAAGAAAATAAAATTGCAAGAAGACTTTTATAGGGCTGCTGTTGAATCATTGTGTATTCCACTTCCAAATCCGAAAATGATGAGTTTAATATCACACAGAGCAGTGCATCTTATATGTCTCAAAAGGCAGCTTATGCTACCCAGAAAACTGGGAGTGCGGCAAGGCATAATGCTTCACTCCAACTCTGAGGCAAATGAAATGACAGTCATCAGGCCCACATTCTAGAAGCAGCATGGTTTTCATTTGGTTTTAACTTCATTGGAAAGTGTCCCAAGGAGGGACAATCCTTCAAAGCCTAGATTTTCCTTTTTTTCCCAGAATCACACTCTAGAAAAGGGACAGGCATATGGCCAGGTTTTGAGTTGGCTGTTTCCAACACTGGCCACTGATGCTGATAAGTTAACTGTGCCAGGCATCCAGAAACTGGGTTTCAGTCCCAGTTATGCCATGAGCTTGGGAGAGTCCACTCCCCATTGGGGGCCTCTGATACTCTGAGGAAGGATCAATAGCCATGACTTAGACTGATGTATAGGAAGACAAAATTGGATTTGAGCGACATGGAAGCTCTAAGGAGCTAAAAAATCCTCCATTCCTGCCAGCTCATTACGGGGTCTGGAGTCTTCTCTCTGGGGTTGTTTGTTGAGTTGTTCTACACACAGATGCTGAGTAGCCTTCATGCACAGGCACGGGGCTCTTTACAGAAAACCCCTACCTTCAGAGAGCTCATAGAAGGAATGGTGATATTTGATTCTCATTGTGACTCTCTGAGGTTGGGATTAAAACAATCACTTTTCAAATAAAGAAATGGAGGCTCAAAGTAGGACCATGATTTACTCCAGACCCCTCAGTTAGAAATGGCCAGTCAGGGCAAAACCATAAGCAGGCCCAATGAAATATAATTATGTTGCCTCGAAGTATTTCTAATTAATCAGAGAAACAAATTCTGCTACTGTGTGTAGCCTTGAGTGTATTAACTGTTTTTGACCAACAAAAACCTCACTCCTTTTGGAGAACTTTGAAGAGGTAGCACTGTCAGAACCAAGGGCAGATGGTATTATATGTGAGCAGAAATTGATTCTCACTATTACAGCCCCTCCAATCACATTGCACATGGTTGCTAAATGGGCTGACAGGTAGGGCCAGCTTGAAAGAAAGTATGTATACATGTATGTGTAGGTGTACATTTTTATGGCATGCGTGGTGCATATGTACATCTGTGTGTTCGCATGTACATATGTGAGAGTGTGCATGTGTTTTGTGTGTATGTGCATGTGTGTGATGTGTGTGTGTAGTGTCTGGTTCCTTTAGAGTGTGCTCTGTGACCCCAGACTTCTCATCTGTTATCCTCTCTCTCAACAGAAGACGAGCCTGGAGTTCTATATCGACATCCACGCCCACTCCACCATGATGAATGGCTTCATGTACGGCAATGTCTTTGAGGATGAGGAGCGCTTCCAGAGGCAGGCCATCTTCCCCAAGCTGCTCTGCCAGAATGCTGAGGACTTCTCCTACGTAAGCCAGAGCTCCCTCCAGCCAGGCCCAGCCTCCCCCAGCCCACTCCCTCTGGCTTCCCTCTCTCTCTCTCCCTCAGAGCAGATGGGTTTAACATGCACAGAACACCAACTCTGTACCAGATCGTGGGTGGGTGATAAAGACAGAGGTAACAAGCTATGCCTGCCCTCAGGCCACTCCTCACCAGTGGGGAGGGAGACTCTGAAGTGGCAGCGAGCACTTGGTTTGTCTGAGGAGCTGGCATGTGTGTAGTTGATCTGACTCCAGCATTAAGACAAGAAACTCACTGAGCAACTGAGCACCCAGCACATGCCAGACCTGCCCCAAGTTGGCTTTTACCTGCCCCAGTTCCATTAGTAGGAGCCTGTCATGTCTAGAGAAGGGGTTATAAGTGCACCATTGTCTTCCCTCATGATGCCTTCTGTGCCTCAGTTTCTTTGTCAGTAATTTGTGGGAGACAATTTCCTGCCCTGCCTGCATCATGGCTTCCTGGGAGGACAAATGCAGCAATAGACTCTGCAGGCAGAAAAGACCTCAGCAGGCCCCAGGAGCATGTTACAACCCACCTCACATGCTGAGGAGGCCTGAGAGACTATAGGTCTGAGAGACTATAGGCCGGTGGTTAGAATAATTTGCAGCAAAAGCAATATTGGAAAAGGACCAAGAGAGGATAAGGAGGGGAATCAGCATGTGGCTGGTGGACAAGGGAGATACTTTGTGCATTTTCTTTTGTTTTGATACCAAATCTCTGAGGCCTGTTTTCCCATGTGGACAGAGGTGGGAAGAGTTGTGGGAAGGGGGGGTGGCACAAAGGTGAGAGCAAGTTTTGAGGTTGATGAACACTGGCCTTGCCTTTGCTTCAGGCCTGGACACCGGTGGAGATGATAAATTTCTCCAGGAGATAAGATGCACTTGGAATCTCAGAATCTTTTACTGCCAGACCACAAGAGGATGGGGGAGATTATTTAGCCCAATTTCCTCTTTACATCTAAAAAGACCCCTATGGCCCAGCGAGTTTGGGTATATATAGCAAAGTCCCTCAGATTTGGTGGTATAATCCAAGCAGGTGGCTCCCAATTTGCAGGTCTGGGATAACAGCAGCCATTCTCATTTGTGTGGGAATCTCTATAGGATGGCCAGCTCTTGTCTTTTTGAAACCACTTCAATTCCAGAGCCACTGTGGTCTCCTGGATCAGAAACCTTCATGGGTAAGGTTTCCAGGGCCAACATTCTTAATTTTTAAAGAAACCTCCATGTTTTTGTCCACAGGAGCTGCACTAATTTACAGTTCCAAAGGGATTATTTTTGAAGCCTAAATGAGATACTGCTGAAGGGGAAACAATAGGATTAGGTTGAAGTTGCTGCCCAAATTTTATTTTATTTTATTTTTCTTTTCATTTTCCTATTAAATTATTATCTGTGTACATCTTTTAACATTGCCCCCCCCCCCCCATATATACTCTCCCTCCCCAGAGTTTTGAGTCCATTGGTTATACTTATATGCATGTATACAAGTCCTTCGGTTGATCTCTTATCTCCTCCAGATTTCCCTACCCTCCCCGCTGTAATTTGACAGTCTTCTTGTTGCTTTACTGTCTCTATATCTATCTTTTGGTTCATCAGTTTATAATGATCTTTATTATCCATAAATGAGTGAGGTATTTCTCTTTCATTGACTGGCTTATTTCACTCAGCATGATGTTCTCCAATTCTATCCAGGTTGCTGCAAATGATGAGAATTCCTTCTTTTTTATGCTGCCCAAATTTTAATTCTGATTTTCATCATAGTACAACTGCTTTTTTTTAAGTTTTATTTTATTGTTTAAAGTATTACATATAGTATTACATATTGCTTCTTATTCTCTGCCACATTCCTTTGCTCCATCTGTTCCCCATTCAGATTTTCACAAATACAGGGATGGGCAAAAGCAGTGTTTCCCACATGCATGACTGGAAACCTACTTTTGCCCACCCCTGTATTTGTTTAATGGCAGTTACTGTGCTCCAGGAGTCTGCCGGATGCTTTCATTTTAATGCTTTTAGTTTAGTTAATCAGTCATCCTAATAATCCTGTGATGTGGGTCTAATATCCCACTTTTCAGGTGAGGAAGTTGAGGCCCAGGGTAGTGTGCTCACAGTATGGTAGCCCAGGCGCCCTGCCCTGACTCTCTGCTCCTCCTTGTCTCTCACAGTCCAGCACATCCTTCAACCGGGACGCCGTGAAGGCAGGCACTGGCCGCCGCTTCCTCGGTGGGCTCCTGGACCACACTTCCTCCTGCTACACCCTGGAGGTCTCCTTCTACAGCTACATCAGCGGGGGCACCACAGCCGCGGTGCCCTACACTGAAGAAGCCTGTATCCTTGGCAGGTCCCCTCGCTGCCCTGGGCCAGCCCACAGCTAGGCCTGGCGGGATTTACTAGACAGGTCAGGAATTTGGTCTCCAGTGCAGGTGAGGACTGCGGCTCCGGGGTGAGGATGGAGATGGCTGGCTCTGCTGGTGGCGTCTTTACATTGTCCTGTTTCCCCCTCGCCCTCTAATGGACGCCCTCTCCCTTCTGCCTCTGCTATGCCTTAAGTCTTGGTCAGGTACCTGGACCCATGGCCTCCCTCTACTTTAATGCTGTGCCCCTCCTCCCCCCTTTCTTCCTCTCAGCTCTCTCATGAGAGAGAGTCTTCTGCCATCTAAGGAGTGTGAGCACACAGGCCAGAGGACCATCCCCCGGGCTGCTGAAGAAGACCCTGATGGTCTTCACTCCTCTTTCTAACCCTGAACATTTAAAATTATGTTTTTCTTTTTTTATCTTCCATCTTTTTATTCTCTTGCTTTCTTTTCTTTCTGCCCACTATTTTTCCTTTTACATATACCTTATCCCCTTTCCTTCTATATCTTTATTCCCTCCTGTTTTGTGTGTTTCTTTCCCTAATTCTCATGACCCCTTCCTCTGTATTCCCTCTTATTCCCATCCTCCTTTCCTCTCTTGCTCTTCACTTTGCCTCCCTTCCTCCTTTCCTCTTTTCCCTGTCATCCTCTGCACATCTTGCTCTTTGCATTTCCTCTGCCAAATCGCCTTTCCTCATACAGTTTATCTGAAAACCCCTGAGCATGTCATGATGAAATTAGAGGTTACTTTCTAGCTTGCTTAAATTTTTAGGGGTTATTGAGTTAATCTAATATCCTGGGTGTTAATTTTAATTTCAAGGTCACAGGATGAGGTTTGTAACAGATTGTGACAATGTCTATTTTCCTTTATCCTTTTGTTTTTGGATTGACCCATTTCTCCTTTCCTATGTTTTCTTAGAGAAAGAATTATAGTTAAAAGAGGAGAAAGGAGAGGAAATAAATTAACTGTGTATATATTCAAATTATCCTTCAAAAGTGGAGGTGCTCTTTTAGCCTTTTTCAACCCATGGTGTTTATGGATTTTCTACCATACTCTAGGCAGGAAAACATCCTTTCTATGTGTGATATAATTTAGGACTAGTCGGTTGCAGCCTAGTGGCTCTGGAGGGGGGAAAGAGGGAGTGTCCAATTCCCTAGTTGGGATCACGGGAGGCAAGGTAACAAACCAAGATGGAGGGGTAAGCAGCAGTTTAGCTGGGTGTTTGAGAAATGTTCCAGACCCACAGAGCACTGGAGAGATGGTAAGCAAACCAAGGGTCCCTCCCTTTAGTCACCCAGACTGAGACAGTCATCTTGAAGTCAGCTTTCATAACTTTAACCTCGGCGTGGCTAAGGAACAGGCAGAGGACTCTTGGTTTCTAAAGTCCTGGCTATCTATCATGTACCACACTGCCCGTCTCCCACCTCAAAACACATGCTCTTGATTGTGTATGTCCCATGCTCTTTCTATGATCTCCCAACACCTGTGACACATGCATAGGTCACATTCCACATTGTGGCAAAGAAGGTAGAGAGAGTTGCCTGGTAGATTTTGAGCTTGTGCACCAAAGGGGATCTCATAACCCCTGTTCATAGTGAGGTGTGAATTTGTGCACAGGAGCCTGCCCTCAGTTTATGGTTGGTGTCTGAGGTGGAATTCCTTTCTCGGCTCCTCTGAAATGCTTTTGTGTTGAAAGTAAACATATTTCTCAGTAGAGTGCCTTCCCCATGAGCCTAGGCCACAGTTTCCTCCCCTCAGTGCCCAGTCCTTATTCATCACACGTAATACCACCAGGACATGCAGGAATCAGACCAGAGGCCCAGGCTAAAATGCTGACCAAGAAGACATAGTTCCTGGCTCAGAGCTTTCACTCTTCGTGGGGAGACAGAAGAGGAAAGAGGCAACTATAATATATATGATGAGTTCTGTGGGAAAGGATTCCAGAGAGCCGTGGAAAACTTTCACTTAGTAAATTTGTGTTGAGTGTCCACCACAAGCAAGGTAAGTTCTAGGCATAGGGGATGTAACAGTGAACATACTAAAAACAAAAATGTTTTTACAGGACTTCCCAAACAGTTTTGGAAGGTCATGGAAGTGACATCTTCCCAGTGCAAGTGACATCTAAGCTGAGTTTTTTAGATTGCGTAGAAATTATCCAGATTGGCTGAGGGTGGGTTGTGAGAGGGAGGACACTGCAGATTGGGGGGAGGGAGGGAGGATGTCTGCAGGAGCTGTGCATGGCTCAGTGTGGCTGCAGGACTTTAGATGCAAGAGGTGAGACTGAAGGAGAAGCTGTAAGGAATTGAACTTGAATATGTAGGTAATGAGAGCACTAGGAGGGTTTTAAATTGTGGTGGAAGCCACTCTGGCTACAGTGGGAAGGACAGAATGGAGGGTCCATGTCTGAAGTTGGAGACACACATTAGGAGGTTGCTTTGAATTATGTTGTTTACGTTGAAGACATAGTCAGGGCTGTTAGAGCAAGAGGCCTGGCTGTGCTGGGAGGACTCCCTGGGCAAAGGGCCTTGGAGGAATCACCACAGTTAAGAGCCTTGACCTCAGAATGCCACACAGTGTGTGCGGGTGCAGTTCCTATGGTTTGTTTTTCGTGTCTGTCATCCAGAGCACCTTCTACCCAATATCAGGTATAGGTTCCCCAGAGGGAGCTAGGCACGTGAAAGATCAGAGAAGGATGGAAGGGAGGGAATCCTGAGGGGTCTTGCACCTGGGATGACAATAGTGCTCACCTCCCCACCCACCAGAACACATGTGTCTGTCAGTCTAATATTTCTCCCTGGAAAAGTGCCAGCTAACATGACCAGGGCCTTCCTCCCTAGTGCAATTATTTAACCACTCTGTCTGCCTCCCATTCACCTTGGAAATCTGAGCCCTGGTTCTCTTTCTGCAGGAAGCCTTTCTTCCCTCTCCCTTCCCTCAGCTTCTTGATCTGTAAAGGGAGAATAGAGATGTTTTATGTCACAGGCTGCTTTGATGGTTACAAGGGAGAATGCAGATGAATCACTGTCACATAGTCGGGCTCCATTGAATCTTAGTTCTCCTGCCCTTTCTCCCTGTTGCATGTTGTTTTTGTTGTTAAATGATAAATTCCTGAGAACTTTGGACCATTCTCCAGCAAATGATATTTATATTTTACTGTCCTGCAAGTAATAAATTGCTCTGTTCAAATGATTTGAGAGGCGGGTAAAGGTGGAGGGGGGGGAGAGAGAGAGAGAGAGAGAGAGAGAGAGAGAGAGAGAGATGCTAACCTGGAATCATAAAATAACCCACAGCTTCTGTGGCCTTAGTTTATAGTCTGGTCACAGCCAAAGGAAATAGCTCTTTGACAAAACGGATGCAAAAAACATTGCAAAGAGAGACTTTTGGGCCTGAGCAGACTCATTTCCACAGTCTTATAGCTGGGACACCTTAATCAGAGAGTGCTGGCTCTAGGTGAAGGTAATGATGGGTGTGGCCAAGGGAAGATGAAGAGATCTAGGACTCAGGCTGTTGGCTTAGTCTCAATTCAAAGCCTACTATATGCTTTGCACTGGGTCCCCTGAAACACACACCAGTCATTGATGATGTCATTTATTTTATTCATCGATCCAACAGAACTCAGCAGACACCACAAAGTTTCATCCTCAGTCCCTGGTGATGTGATGGTCACCTCTGTTGGAGCACTACATCCTTCCAGTGGCCCTCTTGTCTGAACATGAGCTAAAGGTTGCATAATTGGTTCCCTGGTTTCCTTTTCCAAGTCCTGCATGGTCATTTTAAAATGTGGTATCTGGCCCTGGCCAGGTAACTCAGGATGTTAGAGCATCATCCCATTATGCCAAGGTTGTGGGTTCAATCCCTGGTCAGAGCACATATAAGAATTAACCAATGAATGCATAAATAGGTAGAAAAACAAATGATGTCTCTCTCTCCCTTCCTCTGTCTTCCTCTCTCTCTCTCTCTCTCTCTCTCTCTCTCTCTCTCTCTCTCTCTCTCTCTCTCTCTCTCTCTCTCCCTCTCCCTCTCCCTCTCCCTCTCCCTCTCCCTCTCTCTCTCTCAAATCAATAAATAACAATTTTAAAATAAATAAATAAAAATAAATTTTTAAAGTGTGGTATCTATAGATTCAGGATCTCAGCTAAATTCTCATTTTAATAATGTGTCCCAATATCTAACAAATAAGATTGAGCATTATTGGTGATTACTTAGGCATGGGTTAAAGAAAGAAATCAAGGAAGATGCCAAGCTTTCTTAATTTGAACAACACAGTGGAACCAATAACTTACATACAGACTGTTGGAGAAAGGGGTTGAGGAGGGGGCTGTTTTGAGCTTTGTTTGGGATATGTTGAATGCAGGGTAATCATGTCAAGTACAAATAGAGAAATTTGGCAGGGAGGTGGCTTTATGGTGTGAAGTTCTGGAGAGAGCCTAGACTTTGGATAGGCTTATACTAGATATTTCTACCATGTATGATAGAGTCCTAACAAGGAAAGTGGTTTGGTATGTGCAGTCCAGGTGGGCTTCCCCTGATGAACTGGTTCAAAGAATGCCCCTTGTCCCCATCATAAAGCTGTGTGACCTTGGTTAAATAACTTCACCTCTCTGGTTAAAGCCTGATACTTGGTAGGCCTTAGTGAATGCCAATGAATGAATGGGAAAAAAGAGGAAAGAAGGAAGGAAGAAAGGGAGGAAGGAAAGAAGGAAGGAAGGAAGGTCTCACCAGCATTTGCTAATTGGCCCACTAATAGGACAATGAGTGATGTGATCTGTGTTGTTCAGAGGGAATTATCAGGATATATGTGTGCATTGGGTGATTGGGAAGGTGTAGGGGTTACTGCCTATATTTTTTTCTTGGGGAGGAGGCTTCACTTTTTAAGCAGAAGGGTAAGAAGTGTCAAGTCTTATCTGTTGATTGGCATGGAATGATACCCAGGTACTTCCCAGTTTGTCATGCCCAGGGCCAAGCCTTTGTTA